CATTAATGTATATATATAGTTGTATAAAAATAATGTTGCCTTCTAATAATATGGACTAAGGCCTTGTTTGACAAACCGTGTAAAGGATCGGATAAGATTAATTATACGGACTCGGTCGTTTGGTGTTCACTCGTATTAAATAAGCGACGGATTAATTTATCCGGTCTGCTTATTTAACACGGTATACACCTGCTTATTAAAACCAACCAAAAGGCTTGGAGTATTAGGGGTATTTATCATTAATAGTCAAAATTTAGCACACAAATTCATTAATATCAATTTTTGTAAAACAATTCAAATATAGCTAAAAATTCACTTGAATAGAACCAACTACCCTCAAAATTAAAACTTAATTACACCTAAAACCAAAATGTGACATCCCACATCGCTCAGGGGAGTGATCCTTATATGTATATTCCCATCTCTACCTAGCACGAGGCCTTTTGGAAGCTCACTAGTTTTGGGTTCTGTAGGAACTCCGAAGTTAAGCAAGTAGCGCGCAAGAGCATTCCCAGAATGGGTGACCCATCGGGAAGTTCTCGTGTGAGTTCCCAAAAACAAAACCGTGAGGGCGTGGTTGGGGCCCAAAGAGGACAATATCGTGCTATGGTGGAGTCGGGCCGGGAAAGTGGTCCCGCCCGGGCCCACATCACCCAAGGGAGTGATCCTTATATGTATATTCCCATCTTTACCTAGCACGAGGCCTTTTGGGAGCTCATTGGCTTCGGGTTCCGTTGGAACTCTGAAGTTAAGCGAGTAGCGCGCGAGAGTACTCCCATGATGGGTGACCCACTGGGAAGTTCTCGTGTGAGTTCCTAGAAACAAAACTGTGAGGGAGTAGTCAGGGCCCAAAGCGGACAATATCGTGCTACGATGGAGTCAGGCCCGAGATGTGGTGGGGGCTCGGGCCAAGATGTGACAATTTGGTATCAGAGCCTAACCTTGGTCGCGTGTGTGCCGACGAGGACGTCGGGCCCCTAAGGGGGGTGGATTGTGACATCCCACATTGCCCAGAGGAGTGATCCTTATATGTATATTCTCATCTTTACCTAGCACGAGGCCTTTTGGGAGCTCATTGGCTTCGAGTTCCATTGGAACTTCAAAGTTAAGCAAGTAGCGCACGAGAGCACTCCCATGATGGGTGACCCACTGGGAAGTTCTTGTGTGAGTTTCTAGAAACAAAACCGTTAGGGCGTAGTCGGGGCCCAAAACGGACAATATTGTGCTACGATGGAGTCAGGCCCGGGATGTGGCGGGGGCCCAGTCCGGGATGTGACACAAAACCTAATCAAGCATCCTTGTTCCCCAGTATCATTGCTGCCATATTGGGATCCAAAAGCAGCAGCATCAATTTTCTTAGACTTTGGATTTGAATCGTCATATATATATATGATTCTCCTCACGGAAGAAGCCAATCACCATAAAAGCGATCTAAAATATTCTCATCTTCCAATGCACTTGTCTAGAGTGATTTGCTGCAAAGACCTTCCTCCGCCTCCCTCTTTTTCTTTTTGCCTTTTACAGATTCATAAAAAATAATTACCTGCTGAATGCTCTTTAAAAAATATCAAGAAGTTATAATTCTAACAAAATTTTCTATGAAATATCAATTAATTATCACACAAGAATATTCAAAATTTGTAGTTATGCGAAATTTTTATCATGATCTTCGTTGTAGGCTTGTAAATTAAGAAATGAATTTGATAATTTGATTGACTTAGTTTCCATTAGAATAAATACCTCTTTATTAAATGTTTAATTTCATCATGCTCCTCTCTATCTTTTCAAATTCAAATTGAGATCTGAAAATAATTAAACCCTAAAATGAAAAAAGAACACAAAGAGAATCTCTTTGGCGTTTGTTTTCTATTTTGAGGGTAATTTGGTATTTTGATGTGAGGTTTTGGCTATAAATGATAATTTATATAAAAGCTGACAATTTTAAATCTAAGATATAAATTTTGGCTATAAACATAAATTTTGGCTATAAACGATAATTTCTCGATTATTAGTTGGTTTTGCTCTTGCAGTCTCGCAAACTCGACACTCTCTTTCTCGCTTTTTCTCGGCGCCATCGTCCTCCTCGCGCCTTCTCTCACCATCGTTGCCCTCCCCGTCGTCGTTCTTCCTGTCACCTTCTCTTGACGTCGCTTTCTCTCACTGACTCTGCTCTCCTCGTTCTCGTCCTCGTCATCCTCTCCTCGTGGCCTTCCTTGTCGCCTACTCTCCATCTGGTAGTTGGAGATGCCCACAAATTCTTTCACCGGCCATCTTACTCGCACCAACCACTGCACAAAGAAAGTTTCATTCTTGCTTCAAAACAATCGAATTTGAATTGGGTTTTTTTCAATACTGCAGTGGGTTTCTAATTTTAATAATTAGTTGTGATATTTGGGAGCAATGGTGGATGCATTGAAGGGCAACCCCCCCCCCCCGGAACTTCGGTGAACGTCTATGGATACCTTAGGTGCTGACCCTCCAAACTTCGGTGAATGTCTATGGATACCTTAGGTGCTGCCCTTTTAAAGATTAAAGTTAGCTTCATACATACCCTCTAACCCCTACTGACTTCAGGCCTACCAAGACTTGGTGAATGTCTATGGATACCTTAGGTGCTACCCCTTGCATTCAGTAACAGGTGTGCGATATGCCTTTTCAAATGACTTTAGGCCTACTAAGACTTGATGAAACGGCGATATGCATGCTATTTCTGGTATAAAAAAATTTGCACACTTCACGCGCTACTCTTACTGACCCCCTAATATTATTTCCTGGACCCGCCACTATTTAGGAGATCTAGTAATTTGGCTATTTGAATTTAAGTGGGATTTGGGTTTATCATTTTGCTACCGTGATTTGGTCTGGGTTTGTTAAATAGGCTTCTCTTGGTTGAGAATTGATGATAATTAGGAAAAATTTATCTGGGCAATTTTTTTTATTTTAAATTAGATTTTGCTCTTATTTGGGGCTTTTTTATTTGCTTTTTATTTTCAAGATTAGGATTTGAAATGTATTTGGGTTTTTAGATAAAGAATACAGTTATTAGTCCGATATAATACTAAACGTCTGATTAATTTAGTCAGTATTATCCGACTGAATTAATTAGTACAATTCTAACTACCAAACAAGACCTAAAATTTTTCAGCAGTGCACTCAATTCTGTGTTTAAATCTCCTATCTTGATATTATTTATATAAAACTAAAAAATATATATTGACGTGACGTGTGAGACATATAATTAGATTGGACCAAATAGTTAAAAAAAATATATAACATCTTTATTTGATAAGGTCCTTCATATATGATTAAAGTGCATCAAAATCGTACATATTGTGGTCCCTCATCTAACCCATTTTTTGACCATATCTGCCTTTTATAATTACTCTTACGGATTTAATAAAAAGATAATGAATTTGAAAGGCAGGCTTGTGATGACCATCATGACAAATAGAGCCATGATATACACAGAGGGAGCTGCCATGGGCTGGAATTGCCGGCCATGATAAATAAAAGTATACCGTCGATCAATATAAACAAACAGCATACGAATGTAGGACAATTTTTCGAATGAGGATCCTTTTTTTGTGAGGTTTTTAAATATTTATAAATTGTGTTCGTTTATTGTACATCATACGATTATAAATTATTTTTAAATTATTTTATTTAAAATTGAATACAAATAATATTTAATGAAAACTGATTACATGATGTACGATGATCATAACGATGTATAAATTCCTAAAATTCTCACAAAAAAAATCAAAAAATGATCCTCATTCCAATTTTTCCATGACGCAATTGAGCAATGAGTACCTAACGAACGGCTAGATTTGAACACTGAGATTGCAAATTGCTTTTAATGCAATGTATGAAACAATAATTAAAGGGGCAGATCAGTAACACTATTTTTTTACATAAATATTGGCACAAATTTTTTGGGCTCACGTACTATATTTCAACAATCTGAATCGTTTATCTTTTAAAACGTCATTCATAGATCATTTTTACAAAAAAATTAGATAAATCCAAAACCGTTAGAACATTCATTTGTAGTGAAGAAAATAGACGAATATGTTTCTACAAAAAAATTCTAATTCCTTAATCCAACGGTTATATGAATTCAAATTTGGGGTGATTTTTAATAGACATGATCTTTAAGAGAATACCTAAAACATAGACGATTTCGATCGTTGGAATACATTATGAAGTAGTTCCTAAAAAAACATGTATCAAAAATTGTGTTAAAAAAACGAATATGTACCAATAATCAAATAGTTAAAAGAATGGGAACTATTATCTGCATTTCACAAATCTCATTCTACACTCTTTACAAGTATATTTTTCATTTTAATTATAAAAAGTTTGGAGTGCCAATAACAATTTCTAAAAGAATTATAATTTTAGTGAATTTTTGTAAAGATGATCTATTAATGAATAACATAAAAAACGAGCGACTCCTGATATTCAATTGTAAGCCTACAAAGGAAGTGATCATTTACCACAATGGTAGAGAAGAGTGTTGTTCTTAGATTATAGTGTGAGTTCGAATTCCGTTGACTCTCTAATCTAACATCTAATATAACAAATTTATCGGATAAAAAGCAAAAAAAATTGTAAGCCTACAAAGTGGATTAGCACCATTAGTTCGTTAACTAATTAGCACTTGAGCCATCAAAGGCAATTGTTTTTTAAATTAGTATAATTTTTTATACAACTATATATTTACACTTAATGTGAGAAAATAAAATAGTTTTGAACTCGCCATTTATTTATGACATTTGAACCTAAAATCTTTTACTTAAAAAATAAAGAGAAATGCTACTAATCGAAGTGCTAAGTAACAAAATAAAATATAAATATTAAAACTAGAGTAACACTAGGTAAAGTTAAGGATTACATGAATGAACCCAGAAAATTAACTACATCTTTACAGCATAAAAGTATGTTAAAGAGCATATAAATTAGAAACAACTAATAAGAAAAAAAAATGGAAAATAAGATACCTTTGAATTACAATTGTTATAGATTAGATATCAAACATTTTGTTGAATATTTATATCCTGAAATTCTACAATATTACACAAATAATTACTCCTAATTTTGGTCTTTACCAAAAATAATTAAAATAATAATTAGCTAACTTATAGTGGTAGTCACTAGTAGTCAGTAACTCGGAAACTCAGCTGAGTCGTCTCAACTCGACTCGCTCCACTCAAAAGCGCCCCACACCTATTAACATACAGATTCGATCATTCGACCAAAAGCAAATCAACATACAGATTTATCAGCCAACCCTCGAAGCAACGGCCGAGATTCGCTCAAATACTCGAGCTGATTCAGAGCATCAACGTGGCAGCGTCTCTGGAGATCCTCGATGCTCAAGAACTGGCCGGAGTTACCAGACTCAGACCGGGCCAGGACCCGAAGAACCTCTTCGAAAAACGACTCGTCGCACGGGATGGCCAAGGGGCCTTGGTTGGCGAAGCCGTACTCCTCTTCGGCCTGTACTAGAAGCTTCTGGAAGATGGGGTGGTTCAGGTACGTCGCGCGCACGACAAACCGCTTGCAGCTGCTGCCTACGCAGATCGCCACGTGTCCCGAGGGGACGTCGGACGGCGCAGGTGCGGCCGTGAGGCGCGCCTTCTTGTGCCAGCGCTGTAGCATTTGACGGATTCTGACAATGCGTCGGAGTTTGTTGCATTTGCTGACCGCCGGCGACATTTTCCCGGAAAGCGTGGAAAAGAGTGGGAAAGTGGGAGTAGTTAAGAAAGAGTGTTCCGGGGAGCGGTTTTGGGAATTTGCTGGTGGGAGGATTATATGGGACATGAAGAAGTGAAATGCCCCTGGGTTTGGAGATATTTACGAGATCGTGCTAGTTGTTTTGAGTTGTTGGCGAGGCCATGTGATGGGTAGAGAGGAATGTTGAGATGATAACATGGGTTTGGTGGACCGATGTTGTTTCTTGATGGATGCGCCATGCCCCCATTCAATTTGAGATTAGATAAATGCTTGATTGGCGCCTGACAACAAACAAACAATGGATACGCTTGATTGGGGGACACTTGCCTACCCGAGTACGGCGGTACATCATTTTCAACATAGACGTGTGTTATTATTAGTAAATGTCATGAAATATCAAATTATACTCTATGGTATTAATTACTTTGTTGGGTACCCTAATTTCATGTATAACAATAGAATAACATGACATTAACATTCAACGTAAATATTAAAATTTACATTTTATGGTTATATAATTATAATAATCAAGCTGTAGTTAATAATACATAACGACGTTGTTATCACTGTGGTAAGGTTGGTTTTTATGTTGTGAATGACCCATTACCCTATCAATGTTGGTTATTATACTTGAACTTGATTACATTACACTCAACGTTATAATGGTCACCTTATTACATTATACAGGTAGGCTATTATTAGGGATGTCATGAAATAATTACACATCATTGCCAGTTACTTACCTTCATGTCTAATAGTGTTACAACATTATATATATTCAACAACTGAATTATAAGAAAGGTACGGTTACACTATAGTCCTTAACATTTACAATTACACTATAGTCATTAACATTTACAGTTACACTATAGTCGTATTACACTCTAATTAAGGTTATATAATAATAATGATAAAGTTACAGTTAATAACAAATAATGATGTTGTTATTACTGTAACAAGGTTGGTATGTACCTTGTGACACCTTATTACACTGTCAAGATAAGTTATTATATGCCGACTTGATTGCATTACACTACCAATCATTTTTCTCTCTTAAACGGTACCGTAGGCTAACCCATAGAAAAATACAATATTTTATTGGGTATAGATTCAATGTGTTTAGTAAAGTTAAATACAATATTTTATTGGGTATAGATTCAAGTAACATGAAGCTGTCTGTGAACAATTCCAATTAAAATTGGACCAAAGAGAGTGATATTTTATGTTTGATACAATTCTATTCGCTTTCATTTAAATTGAAAATCGAATGCTTCATAAATGTACGTATATGGTTTATATAATTGTTAAGAATGATTCCAAATTGATAGGGGGATGGACCTTACATGTGCTTATAAGTAAGCTGAGATACTTCCCATATTGCCTATTGGTTTGATGGTGGAACCCCAACTTCCGTCATGGTACAAGAGCAGGTTGTCCCGCGTGTGAAAAAAAAGGGTCACACATGCTCCACACCACTCCGTTATGTTGTTCACATGTTAGGCTTGAAAATTCGTCACATATAACGAGACGTGTTGATAATGAATCACATATTTATGAGATGATGGACATTGCATGAGCTTATAAGTAAGTTGGACTATTTCCTATATTTCCAAATAGTTTTATGGCAGAATCCTAACTTTTTTCAATAATTTAATAAATAGAATTCTATCAATACATTTAAATTATTCATGGTTAGATAATTTCAAGTGCTGATAGGAATAAAGAAGTATAAAACAACTAAGTTAAATTTAATTGAATATTATTTCGTGGGAATCCTTACGAATTTCCTATATAGATAATTACTGAATCAAGATGGCTTTTTTGAGTAAAGCTTTTGTAGCAATAGTTTTTAAACTTTACCATGTGTTGTACTAATATTGGTCATTTTCATTAACATCATTTATTTTTCTGTTAAATATAGGAATATATTAGAAACTTCATCCCACGTTTTTAAAATTTTAAAAATGCGAAAATAAGAAAATAACAAAGAAAAAGAAATATAAAAATATCAAATTATTTTTCCGTGAGAGAAAATTGAATGCATAGAAATTTTCATTTCGGTAGTGAAATATGTGATTAGTTAGTTATCCAACCACAATTCAATCTCCTATTGACTTTGAAATTGCATCACATAGTATTAAAAGTTACTAAAGTCCAACCATTTTCATCCTTCATTTTGTTTTTGTAGTTCAAATTTATTTTGTTTTAAGTTTTAGTTATTAATTTATAAGCTTTTATTTGTTTTTAGCTTCTTCTATTGTTTTTGAGAAAATTGTAGCAATGGTCCCTCAACTTTAATCTAATTAGAGCAATAATATGATCCCTCAACTAAAAATCCATGACCATTGGTCCTTTAACTCATTATCAAAATGTATAGCTATGATCATTTTCGTCAACTCTGTTAAAACTTCTGTCAAAATAAGTCACGTGCCACGCACATAAGGTTAGAATTAAGGGACAAATATGGAAACTAAATGAAAAAAATGGTAGAAATGGTCCCTCAACTTTAACTCAATTAGAGCAAGGGTCCCTTAACTTTAACTCAATTATCAATGATTCTTCCAACACGACTCGTTTTGACAGAAGTTCTAACAGAGTTTATGAAAATGATCATAAATGCACATTTTGAGGAGTTATGGGACCATTGATCATGTATTTTTAGTTGAGGGATCATTACTCCAATTGGGTTAAAGTGAAAGACCACTGCTATAATTTCCTCATTGTTTTTTTTTTAAAGTTAAAGTTCCTGACATAGCTCTAGATTAAATGGAAAAACAGACAGAACTAGTGAAAATGACTAATGGTGCAACATTTTGTCAAATTTGATGACTAAAAAACTAATATGTAAGTTCAAAAACTAAAATTAAATAGGGATAAAATTCAAAAACCATTGCTACGATTAAGCCTTGAGTAATAATAATTCATTAATTAACATTCGAGGACCTTACATGAAATAGTCATGTAATTTGGAAAATAGTTTAAAAAAACCTTAAATAGATAAACCACGCGTGAGAATTCCTGATTAAGGAAAAAGAAACTCACATACTTATGAATTACAATAATTATCGTAAATACAAACCCTGAGTCATGGGCATCCAACCAAAATGAATGATCACGACCCCTAAGCACTGTTCTAAAAACTCTCGCCTAGCGCTAGCCGGCGCTAGGTAGTTGGCCACCACATTAATGAAACTCTAAGCGTTTGAAAAATAAGAAAAAATACCTAAACCTGCCTAGGTTCCCACCTAGCCTGCCTAGAACCCCTTAGGTCGCTATTCTCACTTAGACATAAATTAGATAACTTTCATTTTGCATTTTATTTTTTCAATAAATTGTATGAGACTTGCTGAATATTTAGACAAACACTCATTATATGCTTGTTCCCTATGTTTTCAATATGTTCTAGTACTTTATAATCTATACGTCATTCTATTTTGCAATTTATGCATCCTCATACAATTATGTGGGACCATGATTTTCTAGGGCAGGAGTAAGGCGGATTGGAATGCAGTTACATTAGAAGTCCAGTCATGGACTTAACATCTTCGAGTGGAGCTGGATTATCAGAGCAGTAGTGCATCCTTCATCCTGTTCCGAAGTAGTGGAGGAAGTCTGAGTGACTTCGGTGAGAATGACCATCATCCTCTATATGTCTTGAAGTTCCTACAATCTAGGAATTGGCGTGCACCGCAAGTAATCACACTACTAAAGATGATGCAATATCTACTACTAAATATCCTACAGGATTCTCCCCGCTTAGCACAAGGATTCTATCCTAGAAAGGTCGCTTTCCTGACTGGTATATATACACCAATCTAGGGTTCGTCTCTAGTAGCACAATCATCGCACTCTAATTCTCTTGCCGCTTGAGTCTTATACTTCCTTACTAATTTGACCGTCTGAAAGCCTTTGGTTGACACCCCCGATGATTGAAGGCTTGCTCATGGTTGCTTACTATTTTACAGGTTACTTGGATTTGTGCCCTCATCATCCACGACGTGCACGAATTGGGTTCCAACAAATTATGTACGTACTTTTATAAGTATAAAAGGACATCTATTTATACGTTATATAATAAATTTAATTAAAATTAAAAAAAAATTGCCTAGACGCTAAACTCTTGCCGGCCGCCTGACTAGCACCTAACACTTTTTAGAACCTTGTCCTATGACCATGTTGTGCAATACACTTATGAAAGACCACAACCAACCAATTGTTATGAGGTTTTCCCATTTATCTGTATTTTTCAACATAAAAGTTGTGGGTTATTTGCAAAATTGACGGTCAATGTGTTTTTCAAATATGTGCTTCAAATGACTTCTAAACTTTGTGAAGTAAAATGCAGTTAATCCAACTATATATTTACAAGATATAGCATGTTCTGCATCCGTCTTATGTTTACGGTAAAGTTTTAAGTTCAAATTTAATGAACAAGTGTTTGTCACAAGTTAAATAACAATAACAAAAAATGAAAGTGCATTCTGTTGTCAATCACAATGGTTTGTATTTTGTAATAACCGACTGCAATTTGTAAGCTTGACAATTTGTTTGTTTTGTATCCTCCTACCCATGTTTTTGTAATCATATATCCGATTATATATTCTCACTGTCGAGGTAATAGAAAACGTTTATGATATCATTAATGAAGTGCATTCTAATCATTTTCAAGTGAAAAATAAAATCCTTCTTGATAAATGTGCATACGATTTTATGCTGGGAAATACCATGTGCATCCAGTAAGCCTCATGAAATAAAACGACAAAATAATATGATAACATACCGATTAATTAATTGATCATAAGTTAAATTATTCAAGTTAGTTTTGGCAACTTATTTGGAGGAGCATGGCATCTTAACTTTTTGTTTTTTGGCTTATTATATTTGATAATGATTCGATTAGAAAGTTAACTGTTTGTGTTTGCAGTTAAATGGACCACACGGCATCAAAATTTTATGTGCACATACTTAAGTATAGCATAAGT